CAGAGGCTGAAGCCGGAAGATCGTTCGTTCCAGGCCAGCCTCAGCAAATTGTGAGACCCTGTCTCAAAAACTGAAAAGGGCTGGGGGTGAGGGTCAGTGGTAGAATGGCCACTGGGGGACTGGTCTGTCTTATTTGGGAATGCTCATATACACAATAGAGTCTTACAGGATGTGTAAGAGTGAGGGCCATTAATACAGGTCAGTGCCCACCTCTGAGGGAGGACTACCCGGTGGGGGAGAGGGCCTGCGAGGGCTTTGGACACGCTTTTAAGGTAGGGGATCAGTCATGGCGCTGGTTATTTATTTATTTATTTTTAATTCTTGTATGTTTGAATGTTCAGTAATGAAACTCACGTGCATCTGCCCATATACCAAAATCTCAGGAACGGGAACTACATGTAATAGGGTTAGGGTGGCGTCTTACTTTCTTGTACTAGTGTTTTCTGACATTTCTTCTAGAGTGTATCATTCTTCTGTGGCAAAATGCTATAAAAGAGTTTCAGTGAGAGGGATGTATTATCTGTCCTGGAGATGCGCAGGGAGGGACCGCCCCTCCGTGCCCAGGACGCTCTCCTCCGGTTCTGAAAGCGTCCCCCTCGCGTGCGGCCCGTGTCCAGCAGAGGGCGCCAGAGAGGCCTGCCCCAGGCCATCCTGGTCCAGGCTCTCTCATCCCTGCAGCAGAGGCCTGTTCAGTTTCACTCCTGGAGCCTACCTTCATCTCTGCTCACGAATGCATATTTCCCCCAAATCATGAGAAGAGATTCACTAAGTTAAAATAATGATTTCCAATGTGTACACACATGCCAGGAAAAGCCCACAGCTGCGAGGTTCCCACAAGGCAGCCGTGTGACTTTGAGCGCTGGAAACAGCTGGTCTGAACACCCATGAGGACTTAGAATCAAAATAGACGTTTCTTGTTAATAATCCAAGAAATGCTGATTGTATGTTCAGATAATATTTTGGACATACTGGCTTAAAATATACCATTGAAATTAATTTCATTTGTTTCTTTAAAAAAAATTCATCATACAAACATTTTTCTTTTTGGACACTATCACATCACATATCGGCCCACACTGCATTTCTACTGGACAGCCCTGGTCTGGAAAGAATGTTGGCAACAGCAAGATGCCAGTGAGGTTCCCCATAGGGTGTAGAATCACAGCTTGTTTTGATATTACTGTCTTGCTTTCCCGTATTTTCAATTGTTCTAGTTTGAATTTGTAATACTTGTAAATAGAATGAAAACGTTAAAGGAAACTACTTCCAGCCTTCTTTTTTAACATTTTTTTAGAAGTAGTTGTAGAAAAATAACACGTTTATTTTATTTATTTTTATGTGGTGCTGAAGACGGAACCCACGGCCTGTGCCTGCTAGTCATGCACTCTACCGCTGAGCCGCAACCCCAGCCCACGCCCAACCTTCTTGAACGTGAGCTTGGTGTCCTGGCCTGGGTTTTGCTGCACTGGGACAGAGTGCGAGGAGGTTCAGGCCACCATGTAACATGGGAGCATGGAACTGAAGCTCCCAGCCCCAGTTCTTGGGTTCCCATGGGAGAAGCCAAGCAGGAGGACTCTGCCTAAGTGCAGAGCAGCAAGGCTCAAGCAGAGCTCCCTGGGGGCGGGGAGGGACCGATCAGAGGGCAACCAAGGAGAAGTGTGGCTTCCAGACTGATGCTGTTCCACCTTGGCCAGGAGAACTGGAGTCGTCTTTACCAAGCAGATGCTTATCTGCTCCTTCAGGTGGGGAGTTTCTGACCTTATCTTGTCTGGAACTGTCATGGCAGCCATTCTATTCAGGGGGTTTCATCTACAAGTCAGTCTTGTGTTAATCTGGGCTCTGGGGTCAATGTCTGGGCACACTTCATGCACCTGCACTACAAAAGAAATTTCTATGGCTGCTGGTTGTGGTGGCATACACCTGTAATACCAGAGACTCGGAAGACTGAGGCAGAAGGATCACAAGTTGAGGCCAGCCTCAGCAATTTAGTGACGTCCCAAGGAACTTAGTGAGACACTATCTCAAAAAATAAAAAGGGCTGGAAGTGGCTCAGTGGTAAACGCCCCTTGGTTCAATCCCTGGTACCAAACCCAACCAACCAACCAACCAACCTGAGGCCATAAGTCCTAACTGTACAATGACCTCGGTAGACCCTGCCAGGAATTAGCTTTACTTATCTTTTTTTCCATGGCATATTTCTTAATTGACTCCCTTTATTTCCACTTGCTTATTCTCAGGGTTAGTACATGTGTTATTTTTCTACAAGTTATTTGATTTCTCCTTTGCCTTAAAACTAATTTAAAGAATCCTGTGACTCTGCCACATTACTGGCTTGCATTCCACTGCTCATTACTAGACCTCACAACAGAACCTCCAGAACCTCTCCTCACTTTCCTCTGGCTTAGTTGATGCCATAAATTAAAAAGCAAACAAAACCTTGACAGCACAGTTTTTCCAGCTCCACAAGCTGTTGCAATGTCAGTGGAGATTTTCAGTCTGTCAAAATTCCTTTTTCCCTGGGGCATTTCCTGTCTCCTAGCCCAGCCCAGCAGGCCACTGGGAACTGTAGCTCCACTCCCACCTGCAAAATCCCCAGCTTTGTGCACCCTGCTGTATGCACCTTCCCTTCGACTCACAGGTATTTTTAAAGAAGCAATGACAAAAGTAGGACAGGAAAAGGACCCCCACACTCAGCAGCCTCTGGCCCACTCTGCCTGGAGCCTCACCTCCTTCGGTGTCTCATGAACATTTATGGGGGTTTCTGCCCTTAGCCCTAACTCTATTCCCTGTTACCAAGAGCTCCCCTAGGCAGACACTGTATAATACTGGTCCCGGAGCTAAGGAACAGGTCCTTGTTCTTGGTGTTGAAGATAAACACCTGAGGAACGCAAGGCAAGCTAGCAAGTATGGTTTATTTAAGAAAGTGATGGAGACAGACTTCTGTGAAAAGAAGGGCCCCAGAGCTGGGAGTCCACAGGAGGGGGTGGGTCTTGCTTTTTTGTAGACCCCAGAACCCCTTTTAGTCATTGCCTTCTCTTTCTTCTCTGACTCTGTGCCTGGGAACTGGGAGGATGGAGTTAATAGCCAGGAGCAATTGAGAGGTTAGCAGTGTGATAACCAGTCTCATCCTCTCTGTCCCCCCTCATTCATCATCTACGTAGACTGCCAGACCTTTGTCCCTGCCTTAGCTTGCTAAGGAATGTGACATATCCTGTCTACTCAGGACAGGCTGGCTGCAGGACGATTGCTTTTTGGCAAAGAAAGCATGTGGGGTTCAGTATATGGACTAATTTTATAGAATTATTCTCTTAACTTCGTGTGTCCACCGTCCTCATCTATTTGTCCCCTTCCAATAACACGAAGGGATGCCATAGCAAAACCATCCCAAAGCTCTCTATTTCAAGAAACATGTATCTTGAGGGGCTGGGGGTGTCGCCCCCCGCGACAAGGGTACGCGGGAGACCAGCTGTCGGAACCGCCCTCGGACAGAGGTAGTGAAGCACACTAGACCAGCTAGTGTCTCCTGGGCTGAGTGAGAGGGTAAGTATTGCGACTCGGCCTGCCACCCAACCTGGCCCACAATCACACTGAGTCGGGAGATGAGTCAACCATGAAGGTGCAACAATCTCAACTTTATTGTGTCAGGGACAAGGTTATATAGTGATAGAAGGAGTAAGAAGAGACAGTAGCGAAAACCAATAAGGAGCAGTTACGGTCACTGTCACTAAGGGGCCTAGGCAGATTTCAGATTAAACCATTAGGCGGGACTAAGGTCAAAAGCCCGAGTGCGCCAATCCAGCCAGGTCACGCAGATGGAAATGCTAACCCATGAGGCCGCCTCAGCCAACACCCAATAATGGCCGCGGTTCCAAGGGAGGTAAAAGGTCCCAACAGCGGGCATGAGAGAGGGGCTAGATGGGAAGAGGAAGGGATGAGGACTTAAAACTGCTCCGCTGTCTAAGGCTGGATCAGGAAGACTAAGTATGCTTGGCTCAGCCGGGACCCACCAGAAGGGGCAAGAGTGGTTCCCTCTGGGGGATGAAGAAGGGGAGGTGGGACTGCTTCTGTCTTCCAAATTCCACATGGATGAATGGGTCAGCTAAGATCGAAGAACAAACTTGTGTGAGGAACCCAAGTGGCCCCTGTGGCTTCAGCGACTCTCCCCACTGCTGGACTTCTCAGCAGGTCCTTCCTGTCCCCATGGGTGTCACCAAAAGAAGCTAGACAGCTTCTTGGCGATATTTGAAATGGCTTCTTCACATTATGAGAATTCCAACAAACCCGAGACTCTGACATAACCTAGGGCTGTATTCACTAACTTTAGGGACTGAGGATTGAATCCCGGGGTGCTCTACCGCAGAGCTTCATCCCAAGTCCTAACTTTTTTTATTTTGGTACCAGGCATTGAACTCAGGAGCACTCGACCACTGAGCCACAACCCCAGCCCTATTTTTGCATTTTATTTAGAAACAGGGCCTCACTCAGTTGCTTAGTTGGCTGAGGCTGAGGCTGGCTTGGAACGTGCGATCCTCCGGTCTCAGCCTCCCAAGCTGCTGGGATTACAGGCGTGGCCACCGCGCCCGGCCCCAGCCCTGACTTTTTTCTGGGACGGGCGGGATCTCGCCGCGTGGCGGAGGTAGCCCTCCCCCAGCCGACGTGACTACAGGCAGCGCCACCACGCCACCGAGCCGGGGGAACCAGGACCTTCGGGCAGTTTTCCGGAAAATAATTCCGGTGGAGGCGGGCCCAGCCGTCGCGCCTGCGGCGTCCGTCCGGGGTCCACGGTGAATGCGGAAATCCCCAACGCGACACAGCCAAACAGCGCCGGCCACCTCTCCCTCGGCTCCACTCCCCCCGGGCCTCCTCAGCACTTCCTTCGGTGCCGCGCCCGGCAGCTAACCGGAACGCGGGCCGCCGAGGCCCCGCCTCCCCAGCCGTGGCCCCGCCCCTAGGCTTGGCCCCGCCCCCTAGGCTTAGCCCCCTTCTACCGCGAGGCCGGCCGCCGCCCTGAGCGGCTCGGCCCTGCCCCCGAGGCTCGGCTCCGCCCCGCCAGCCGGCTGCGCGGTCGTCGGGAGACCTCGCCCCAGTCGGCCGTTCCGCCTGCTCCAGTCAAAGTGGGCACTGTCGCTCTCAGCCCCGGCAGCCCGCGGCCGTCTCCAGGTCAGTCCCCACGCGCTGCGTCACCCCGTGGCCAGTGTGACGCCCGGCTAGCTCAGGCGGCCCTTCCCCGCGCCGGCCTCAGCCGGGAGTCCTGTGGATGCGCGCCGGGCGCCACTGCGGTCCTAGCGACCCGGCGCGACTCGCACTCCCCGGGCGGAGCGGCGGGGAGGAGGGGCCGGGCGAGGCGGTTTCCGGCGATTTCCGGCGGTTTCCGGCGCGCCCCAGGACCTCGTCGCGCCGGTGCGTACCGCGGGGCACGCTGGGAGCCCGGGGGGGCTGGCGGGCGCGTCTGCGTGGTCCGCCTCTTCGCGGGTGGGGACCTCGTGACGGTTGGTGTCTGCCAGCTACGCCCGCAGGCCTGGGCAGCCTGTCTGTGTCCCTCAGTTAAGCGACCCCTGATCTTATTCTCTCGAAAGAAGCGGCATTTCTGGTTTCTCGGCTCTCCGAGAACTGCAGGGTCGTTACGGGGCTCGGGTGGCGCCGCCTCGCACGGTGGGGACTCGGGGGCCGCTCAGGTGCGGAGCAGAGGCAGGTAACCGAGAGCGCCCCCTGGGGGCCGCGGGGAGGGCTGTTGCCTGAAAGAAGCCGAGGCTCCGGGCACTTCGTACCAGCCAGGTGTCCGCGCCTGGGCCGCGACAGCTGGTGGGGTTTGGCGGCATTTCAGGAGGCCCCTTGCTAGGGTAGAAGAAAGCTTGACCACCTGTACAGTTCGGGTGAATCAGTTGAATACAGACTAATTGCACGTAATGCGGCCATTGGAAGTAACATCGTATACGTACTTTTTATTTTTTGGTGCTGTAAATTTAACCCAGGAGCGCTTACATCTGAGCTACATCCCCAACCCTTTTTATTTTTTATTTTGAGACAGTTGCTGAGGCTGGCCTCGAACTTGTGATCCTCCTGCCTCAGCCTCCCAAGTCGCTGGGATTATAGGCATGCATCACGATGCTGGGCAGTATACACGTTTTTCACTTTTTTTTTTTTTGTACCCAGGATGGAGCCCAGGGGTGCTTACCACTGAGCCACAACCCCCAGCCCGTTTTTGTATTTTATTTAGAGACAGGATATCCTTGAGTTGCTGAGGCTGGCTTTGAATTAACTGTCCTCCTGCCTGAGCCTCCCGAGCCCCTGGGATTTCAGGTGTGTGGCCACCACTTCTGAGTAGTTCAGAATGTACTAGGGGCTTAAAATCTAGGTGTGTGTGTATGCGGGGGGAGATGTTCTGATTCCTTGTGTAAGCTTCAAAGGAGAATCAGTTTGTTGGCCTTAATCAGTGTCTTAAGAATCTGCCTCCCTCCAGTTTGTGTGCCCTTGTGATCACTCTGGGCCCTCTCAGATAAATTAGGGCAATATCCCCCTCTCAACATCAGCCTTAAAATTGCTGCACCTCTTTAACCCCAGCATCTCTGGATACTGAGGCAGGAGGATCACAAATTCAAGGCCAGCCTGGACAGTTTAGCAAGAGCCTCTCTCAAAATAAAAAGGGCTTCATGTGGCTAGTGGTTCAGTCCCCAGTCCTGTCCCCCCCACAAAAAAAAAAAAACGGAAGTTGGTTGGACACAGTACGCCCAGAGGCTCACTGAGCCCTTCACTCTCAGGCTACAGAAGCCTCTGCTAGAAGCCAGCAGTACCTTGTTTTCCTGCATCAAGGGGGAGAGGTGCTCCCTGTCTTCACTGATGGCCCTGAGCACCTGGCAGGTGCTGGACACACCGCGGGCCTGCTCTCTGAGGGGATCCTGGAAGGGTGTGTGTGCTCTCTGCCCAGCCTCCTGCTTTGCTGGAACCCAGTTGGTGGGCCTTGTCTGTGGACACCCAGAGAACTATAGCAACACGTGTTGGCTGGCCTGGCCAAAAAATTTCCCCCAGTTGTAGCTTTTCACCTTAAAACCCCAAAGAACTGGCCCTCTCAGTCCTCTGGTTAGTTCCTGGCTCCTGATTCCTGGGACTCTGAGCTACCCTGGAACATGAAGTTAGTTGAGATCCGCAGTGAGCATGGAGCCTAATGACTGAGACAGAACTCCAGTCCACCGCTTCTCCATCAGCTCCCTTGTCAGCTCGCTCCTTCTTTCAGACTGCCTGGGCTGGCCTGGAAGCCTTCCCTGGCCTTTTCGTGGTACCAGATTGCCTTATTGAACTCCTTGAGGACAGCGAGACCTGGAACAGTGCCCTCCACACTGCCGGTACTCAGGGAAGAGTTGGATGGATGAATGCCTGTGCCTTCTAACAAGTGTGCAGCCGTCTCTGCAGGAGAGCAGGCATCTGAGGAGATGGCCTGCTTCCCTAGCAGTTCTCTTCCCTAAGCTGTTCATGCCCACATGACTTTTTTCAAACATCACCAGTGTTTTGCATGTTTAAAAACCTGTACCTCGCTGGGCACTGTGGTACATGCCTGTAATCCCAGCAACTCAGGAGGCTGAGATCCTCAGCAATTTAGCAAGATGCTCTCTTAAAGTAAAAAGAACTGGGAATGTACGTGAGTGGTAAAGGGCCCCTGGGTTCAAGATCCAGTACCCCCCAAAAGGTAAAAGCCAAGCCAGTGTACCCTTGTGGCTCTCCCCAGGCCAGTCAGAATTGTTGTAACTGGCAAGAGTTTGGGAGTATGTTACAAAATTATTAAGCTGTTTTCCTCCAAGAGACTTAGATTGGGTCTGTGTTTGCATCCCAGGCCTTTCCCATGCTGAGGATGGAACCCAGGACCTTTGAATGGTAGTACTCTACCAGGAGGTTTGGTGACATACCCTGGGCTTCCTAGGGGACCCAGGCGGGACCGGTTTTGCTTACGTGCTCTGAGCAGCAAACGGGGTTCAGTCAGGGCTCCTCATTGAGATGCTGTGTGACCAAGGTGTCCCCTGTCCTTGCTTCAGTTTCCCCTGTTGCAGGCCTGTGTGCCACGACCCATAAGGGCAACCCCCCAAGTTGGCTCCAAGGTGCTCCTCCCTGCTCCCGCCTGATCCAGCCCCAGGGAAGGGGCAGGACAAGGCCAGTTGTGCCAGACACTGGCGGCAGAGGGGAAGACACTCGGGAACCCCTACAGACCACGTCATCCTGTAGTCACAGCCTTTGGGAAGGGCGCTGGGCTCTGCCTCTTGGGGAGAGAGCTCCTCAGAGAAGCCCTTGCCCCACCCTTCCCTGCACTGGAAGCCCAGCATGAGTCGCTTCTTCCAGGAACCCTCTGGTGTCCCTGCTGCTCCAGCTGGCCTGCTTGGCAGAGCTCAGGGAATGTGTGGTCCACAGGGTGACTTCCTCTTCCCCTTCTTCCCCAGACGTATGGGTGCTGTAGGTGCATGTCCTCTCGGCTTCAGGAACTCCCTTCAGGCAGTGATTCCTCGTTTTTTCAGGCTGTGACCTGCCTCTGTTCCAGCCTGGGCAGGGCCTGGGAGGGGCAGAGGAGGTGCCCTGGCCTGTCCTGGAGTCATGGAAGCTGTTGTCCTAGGGCTGCTGGGGGAGGCTTCACCCACTGCTGTGTTTGGGCAGCTTCCATCCTGGACCCTGCATCTTGGAGGGCTCTGGCTTTGTGGACCGCTTGGCAGTGCACTGTGGCACTGCCAACCCTGCCTGTTCTGAGAGGACAGGAAGCCAGCTGAGCCTGCTTCTGGGGTTTCCACCCCCCTCCCACCATCCTTGCTCAGGTGAATAAGAGGCAGGGGCTTCCCAGCCCACACTTGCTGTGTCCTGCTTCTCCTGAGCAGGAGGTGCCAACTGTGGCTGTAGGCTGAGAGGTGAAACTGACATCTGTGTCCCACAGCCGCGTCCCCAAGCTCTGCTGCTTGGGGTGACCTTTTCTCCTGGAGAATGAGCAGGTGGAAATTTTGAGGGAAGAAGGCAGAGAAAGCACCTGCCGGAGAGGCTGCAGCCCTTCTGGAAATATCCGCCTTCAGGGTTCTGGGTGGACTCTTCCTGCTCATAGGACCTCTGGTCTGCCGGGCCTGGGGAATCTGCGAGGGGTTCTCTTTCCTCTTTCTTTTGCCCAGACGACACTGCAGCCCACCATGAGTCTTGACATCCACTGTGAGCAGCTGAGTGATGCCAGGTGGACAGAGCTCCTCCCCCTGATCCAGCAGTACCAAGTGGTCAGGTATGGGCAGCTGCGGTGGGGTGGCGATGCACTTGGGCACGCTGTGCTTGGGAGGCTGCTATTCATGGAGGCGAAGGTGCTTGATAGTTCTGGGAGGTATGAGATGCTGTCCTGTGGTTTCCCAGCCTGGGCATCAGCTCCGTGGTACAGCACTGGCCTAGCACGTGGGTTCTGTCCCAGCACCACAAAGAAAGAAAAAGAAGAAAAAGTTCTTCTACACGAACCCTCACAGGCTCTAGTGGATGGCAGGTGTGGTGTGCGTTGGGGGCAGTGGCTGATGCACTAGGCGGCCCGGAACCTGGGCTCTAGGCCCCCTCCATCCTCAGGCAAGGCGCAGTGAGGCTTGGTGGCTGTGCTGCCCCTGCCACGCTCTGTCCTCAGCTTCACTCTCCCGGGTGCCTCAGGCTCACAGTTGAGACAGGCACCCGCTTGGTCCCTTTGTAGCTGCTATCAGAGATGGTTTTAGATAGCCTTCTTCCTGCTTCCCCTGATGACCTCATCTCATGGAGACTGTCACAGTGCCCAGCATGTCCCACCAAGGACAAGCCCAGGCACCAGCTTTGTACCCGCATCCTTTTCCCTCTGGGTGGCCCAGGATCCCACACGCCTTTGTCTCCTGAGCCCCCCCCCGGCCCCCCCAGCCCCTACCCTCCCTTTGTGCTGGTGACTTGCCTTGTGAGCCCCAGAGTCATGCAGGCACCCTCTGGCTTGTCTGTGGGCTTCTCGTGCTGGACCAGCTTCTCATGGTGGTCACACATTGGCAAGACATAGGAAAGCTGTGGCCCTGCTGCTTATTGTGCCACCTTTGGTTGCGCAGAGCGGAGTTCTGCCCAGACCCACTTCTCTCGGGTCCACAGGTGGCCCTCTTGCCTTGATGCAGCCCTTACATCTGCCAGCTGTTATTTTGGGGAAGAAATTGGGGTGGTCTTGGCATCGTGCCCATGCCATGGGCTTTGCTCAGCCCCTCAGTTGGCCTTGCTGTCCCTCTGGCCTCCCGTGCCAGCTCTGCGTGGGGGATTCCAGGGTTGGTCCCTGCAGAAGGTGTGGGGGGCACAGCATGCCCACTATCTATGATCATTCCTATTTTTATTTCCTTTTCATACTGGGGAGTGGGCCCAGTGGTACTCCCATCATTGATCTGCACCCCTAGCCCTTTTTATTTTTATTTTATTTTTTTGGTTCAGGGGATTGAACTCGGGCACTCGACCACTGAGCCACATCCCCAGCTCTATGTTGTAGTTTATTTAGAGACAGAGTCTCACTGAGTTGCTTAGTGCCTTGCTTTTGCTGAGGCTGCTTTGAACTAGAGAGCCTCCTGCCTCCTGAGCTGCTGGGATACAGGCATGTGCAACTGTGTTGGGCCCTTTTTTTACTTGTTATTGAAGACAGTATCTCACTCAGTTGCCTGGTTGCTGTCTGCCTCAGCCTCCGAGTTGTTGGGGTCCCAGCATGTGCAGCCATACCTGCCCACTCCTATTTTGGGTTCCCTTTTTAAATTTCCTTCCTTCCATCGAACCCAGAGGTGTTCTGGCATTAAGTGAACATTCTTACCTGCCCCTTTACATTTTATCTTCAGAAGGTCTTGCTAAGTTGCTGAGGTTAGTCTCCAATTTGCTTCTGCCCACCTAGCCTTCTGAGTGGCTCTGGTGACGAGTGTGTGCCACCATGCCTGACTGTTTCATGTTTAAACATCCTGGCCGTGACTTTTTTTTTTTTGTGCTGGGGATTGAACTCGGGAGCACTCGACCACTGAGCCACATCCCCAGCCCTATTTTGTATTTATTTGGAGACAGGGTCTCACTGAGTTGCCTAGTGCCTTTGCTGTTGCTGAGGCTGGCTTCAACTTGACTACCTTTCGACTTCTTGGCCACTGATGGCTCTCAGCCTGTGGCATGAGAGGGTCTTTGGGCCTGAGGCTGGCTCCACCCCATGTGACCCAGGGATCCCATTCACAGGCTGGATGACTGTGGCCTCACTGAGGTGCGGTGCCAGGACATTAGCTCTGCACTTCGGGTCAACCCTTCCCTGACAGAGCTCAGCCTGCGCACCAATGAGTTGGGTGACGCCGGGGTGCATCTAGTTCTCCAGGGCCTGCAGAGCCCCATCTGCAAGATCCAGAAGCTGAGGTGAGGCCAGGGCACAGCCCAGCTCACGTAGGGTGGGGCCTGGGGTGGGCATCCAGGTGGTGGGGTATGGAGAGCCACCAGAGGCCCCAGCAAGCACTCCCAGCTCTAGCCAGAGGCACACAAGAGAGATGGCTGCCTGGTGCTGGGACAGGTTGCACTGGGCTCATGCCAGGCCCAGGTCTTGCGTGAGGGTCTGGCACACCTGTAATTGGGGGCCCCCTGCAGCACTTCTGTGCCCTGCCTCCCTCAAGGTGCTGCTGGGACTTGGCAGGCAGGGGGCTGCGGGTTCACGGGGGCCGCTGACAGTGGTGTGTTCCAGCCTCCAGAACTGCTGCCTGACGGAGGCTGGCTGTGGGGTCCTGCCTGGCGTGCTGCGCTCCCTGTCCACCCTGCGAGAACTGCATCTCAACGACAACCCTCTGGGGGACGCAGGCCTGCGGCTGCTCTGTGAAGGGCTCCTGGACCCCCAGTGCCATCTTGAGAAGCTGCAGTGAGTGTGTGCCCTGGCAGCCTGTCCTTGCTGAGCCCCGCCTGTGTGGTGTCCTCAGGAGGCTTCAAGGCAGGACTTGAGCTCCAGGGGCTTGCGGTGCCCCTCTTCTCGGATGTCGGCTCTTCTTTGAAAGGGGCTGGCAGATTCCTGCCAAGTCTGGGGATGAGGTACTCTTAAGTGTGACCATGGCCAAGCAGGTAGCCCTGCCTATTAGGGATGCTTCTTCCTGGAGCCTGGGAGATCCCTGAGTTTGAAGTGGGGCTCTTGGTCATGAGGATTTTTCCCAAAGGAGTGTGGTATGCACACAGGCTAGAGGCAGTGGGCACCCACTGTTCCCGAACAGCAGCTAGAGACAAGTCCTCAGCACCCCAGCCCGATGCCAAGGGGGAAGGCTGGGGGGGGATGGGGGGACAAGACACCAGCACCCTTGTGCCTCGCTAACACACTGCCCCTGGGCTGCCTGTGGCTCTGTGGAGGGTGGACTGAGACCCTGTGTGTGTACAGGCTGGAGTACTGCAACCTCACGGCCGCCAGCTGTGAACCTCTGGCCACGGTGCTCAGGGCCAAGCCCGACTTCAAGGAGCTCACAGTGAGCAACAATGACCTGCAGGAGGCTGGCATCCAGACGCTCTGCCAAGGCCTGAAGGATTCTGCCTGCCAGCTGGAGATGCTCAAGTATGCAAGGCGCTGGGCTCAGCCTGGTTGGGCTGGGTAGGGCCGGACTCCAGGGCTCCCCTCAGGCATGTACCCTGTCCCCAGGTTGGAGAACTGCGGTGTCACAGCGGCCAACTGCAAGGCTCTGAGTGCTGTTGTGGCTTCCAAGGCTTCGCTGCAGGAGCTGGACCTGGGCTGCAACAAGCTGGGTGACGAGGGCATCGCAGAACTGTGCCCAGCGCTGCTGTGTGCCAGCAGCAGGCTTAGGACCCTCTGGTGAGCAGGCTGCGCGTCTCCCTCTGAGGGGCGGTTGGGGCGCTCACTGGGGCCATGAGCTATGTGCTGAGTGAGATCCGTCCTTCATGGCATGGATGCCCTATAGGCTCTGGGAGTGCGGCATCACCGGCGAGGGCTGCAAGGACCTCTGCCGTGTCCTCAAGGCCAAGCAGAGCCTCAAGGAGCTCAGCCTGGCTGAAAACCAGCTGGGGGATGAGGGCGCCCGGCTGCTGTGCGAGAGCCTGCTGGAGCCTGGCTGCCAACTGGAGTCGCTGTGGTGAGCATGAACGCGCCCTGGGCCGGGACAGCAGGGGCCGGAGCTGAGCCAGGCGTGGGGAGAGGCCTGTGGCTCCAGGGAGTGGGGTGACATGAATGGGACAGTGCTGGGACCGAGGTGTGGATATACATCTGGGAGGAGCAGGCAGGAGAGTGGGGGTGAGCCGCCCAGAAAATGGGTGGTGTTTGGGGGGACATCTCTGATGGAGTGCACTTGGGAGGGATTCCAGGGGAAGGGGCTCTGGAGAGTGGCCTTGTCCCTTCCATTTCCACAGGGTCAAGACCTGCGGCCTCACAGCTGCCTGCTGCCCCTACTTCCGCTCGGTGCTGGCCCAGAACAAGTTCCTCCTGGAGCTGCAGATCAGCAGCAACCAGCTGGGCGATGCCGGTGTGCAGGAGCTCTGCCAGGGCCTGAGCCAGCCGGGCGCCGTGCTGCGGGTGCTCTGGTGAGTGCAGCTCTGGCTGGCTTGGTTCTCCCCCTAATCCTGACCCTCAGAGGGCCTGCTCATGGAGTCCCATGGCTGCCTAGGCTCCGGCCCAGCCATCTCGTAATGCTGGAAGCATTGTCCACCCTCTGCAGGACCCCCTGGGGCTCATCTTCCCAGGCTCCCTCCATTTGGTTGAGCCCATTTCAGCAGCTCCCCAAGAAAGGGTCCTGTGGAAGCAGCCTGAGGAGCCCATGTGCCCTGCTCTGGTCACTCTGGCTTTCAGGACAGGCACTGCTGTCCTGCTTTCCCTGCAGATCTGCCTTTTCTTCACGGCAAGCTTTGAGAGATCAGTGTCTGTTCTGCAGTTGGATGTCCTTGGTCCTGGAGGGGTGCTGTATGTTGGTGATCTGTCTCCTCTAATTCCTTGTCTTGGGAGTGCCTGGCACTCATCCCTTAGGTCTCTCGGGCTGATGTTCCCATTCCCTGTAATATTTTCTTTCTAGTTTTCTTATTTTGGGAGTTTTCTCTTTTTTCTAGCTGAGGGATCGGACCTGGTGCTCTACAAACTAAGCTACACCCCAGCCCTCTGTATTACTTGCTAACTTGTGGAGTCTGGCCTCGGACATGCCATCGTCCTGCCTCAGCCTCCAGAGTGGCTGGGATTGTGGGCATGTGCCACTGCATGTGGCTCTACAAAGACTTGGGTTTCTGCTTTTAGGTTTCTGTTTGTGCTTCCCGTGGGCCGCTCTCCTTGGGTGCTGGTCATCCTGGACCAGGCACTGGCTGGAGGGTGGGATGGGCAGCCTGAACAGCAGTCCTTCAGTCTCCTGCCCAGGGGATGCCATCCTGGAGCTAGGTGGAGAGGAGCTTGGTCTTGTGCTGGGAGACATGGGCCTGCCTTGGCTATTGGCAAGTGGGGTCCCCAGCGAGCCTGGCTGGTTCCTTGATTTGATTAGGTTTGTCAGGGCTGTGCCTTCACCACCCTCCCTTAGGGCATCCGTGTTTCTGGGGTGGGTACTAGGTCTGTCCCACTGCATCCCATTTCTTTGAACCTACAAGCCTCTGTCCACCCATCACCTTGTCCCAGTTCTCCTGTGCAGCCCCCCTGGCCTTGGTACTGACTCCTCTGACCCAGTGGGCTCTGGTGCCAAGGTGCCAATGTGCATCTCTCCATCTTTGATTGGGGCATCTGCCCAGGATCTGCTCAAGGCTGGGACTTGGGAACAGCTCCACCCAGAGTCCTGGTCTGTGGGCCATGGCACACTGGACATGCCTGTCCTGAACGCTGCCTGTGCCCCTGCTCAGGCTGGGCGAGTGCAACGTGACCGACAGTGGCTGTGACACCCTTGCTACGGCTCTGCTGGTCAACCGCAGCCTGCGGGAGCTGGACCTGAGCAACAACTGCGTGGGGGACCCTGGCATACAGCGGCTGGTGGAGAGTCTCCGGCAGCCTGGCTGTGTCTTGGAACAGCTGGTGTAAGTGGCCAAGTGCTGGGGGACCAGGGCTCAGGAGCAGCGGGGGAAGGCCGGGCGGTGGGTGCTCTGGTTCACTCCCTCCTTTCTGCCCACGTGCAGCCTGTATGACATCTACTGGACTGAGGAGATGGAAGAGCAGCTGCGGACCCTGGAGGGACTCAAGCCGTCCCTGAGGGTCATCTCCTGAGTTCCTGCTTGCGGTTTCTGAAATCTACCTGGACACCGCATCCTCAGTCCCTCCTGGGGCTCTTACTCCTGGTGTCCTGGCTTTGACTGGGAAGAAATGCCCTAACCCAGTACTTCAGCAAGAGAGCTTGAGACCCTGCATAGTTATTAAAGCACTTGTTGGCAGGAGGATCCTTGTCCTTCCTTGTGGGTCCTGTGTGGCTCGCAGCTGCTGAGAATGCCCTGTTCACACACAGTGCCCTGAGCAGGGCACAGGCTGCCAAAGGACCCCGCAGGCTAGGTAGCCAGGCCAGGCCCAGGAACCTCACCCTTGAGTCCTGCCCATATTGAGGGGATCTGGCACGGGCACTGTTGAGATCCCGGGGGGCTAGGTGTGCTCAGTGGAAGAGCACAGCCCTGGCAGGGGTCAGACCTTGGGTTCGATCTCTAGTGTTACAGAAAGAAGTCCCTCAAGATGCCAAGCACAGTGGTCCAGGCCTTGAGGCCAGCCTTGGCAACTTACCAAGACCTTCTTCCCAAAAAGGCCTGGGGATGCAGCTCAGTGGTAGCACACTCCTGGTACCAAAAGAAATCCACCCTTCCAGCTGAAGAAATCCTAGGAGCTTTCTCGGTGAATTAAAGTCGCGTTACCTGGGGAAGCCGAGAAATGGCCGGCTGGCTGGAAACAGGCGTGTGCAGGGCCAGAGGTGGCAGAGCAGAGCAGCTCTGCCTCCAGCGTCACTTTTGCCTGGTCTGTGGCCGTGTGTGTGTGTGTGAGTGTGGGGGGACTCTCCAGCTTGGGCAGCTTGAGGCAGCGCCCATGCTGGTGTCCATCAGAATGTGCAACTCACAAGAGCAGCACCATACAAAAAATAGGAGTGGATGTGTCTCCAAGAGGCCAAACAGGACAACGCCTCACGCAAGGCTTCAAGTGTGGCTGCTAGCTGCACAGACCAGCTCCTGGCACCCACAGCCATTCCTGCAATGCACCTTTTCGTGTGCTCCATTTTTAGTTTTCAAAGGTCAGCATTGTCCACAGCTTGGTGTGGTGGTTTGTCTTCACATCACTTCAATATGTAGGTACAGACTGTATTTCCCTAATTTTGACTCCATGCAGACACACTTCCACAATATTGACTGTGTAAGCATTGTGTGTGGCCAAAATAAAAGCAAAGAGTTCTTTCTGAACATCTGCATTTCTGGAAGATAGAACTTCTAGGCTCTTTGGGCAACTGCATGTACAGCGGATTTCCACTATGGTTTGTGAATGATTTGGTTAACAGGAGGCTGGGGCAGGAGGATGGCAAATTTGAGGCCAGCCTCAGCAACTTACCAAGAACCTGCCTCTTTGATCATTTTAAAAAGGGCTGCAACATACTTCAGTGGTAGGAGCATTCACCTCATATGTGCAAGACCCTAGGTTCAAGCTCCAGTACCAAAAAAAAGAATCCCCTTTAAAATGTAAACAAAGGCCAGGTGCAGTGATGCCTGCCTGTAATCCCAGCGACTTGGGAGACAGGAGAATCTCAAATTGGAGGGTTAAGACCCTGTCTTAAAATGAAAATAAAACGTGATGGGGATGTAGCTCAGTGGTAGAGTATACCTGGGTTAAGCCCCTAGTACTGAAGAAGGAAAAGGAAGAAAAAGGCTGGAGATTTTTTCTTGGGGGGGGGCACTCTCGCCTAACCCCATCCCCTATTTTGTATTTTCTTTAGAAACAGGGCTTCATTGAGTTGCTTAGCACCTCGCTTTTACTGAGGCTGGCTTTGAACTCGTGATCTTCCCGCCCCAGGCTTCTGGGATTCCAGTGTGTGCCACTGCACTTGGTTTATTCTCAGTATTTTGCTCTTTTGGGATCTCATACCTCAGGAGCCTGCTCTCAGATGCTGCTGGTCTGCTTGGCTCTGCTGTCTGACACGCCATGTGCGGGCTGGGAACCCCTGCAGGGTTTCTGAAAGGGGGCCGCCCCCTGGGCCAGGCCACTCCTGCAGCTTTAGGCCTTGGAACTGCCGGCCCTGATGTTCCCACTGAGCCTGGCCCCGCGCTGCCTCCTGGGTAGGACAGTGGGGCACCCCTCAACTCCAGTGGGCCAGAGGGGAGCCACCCTGACCATGCTGAGACAGGGAGACTGCCCGTGTGGTCTGGGGGACACTTGACTGGGAAGCAATTTGGGATTGCTACTATAAAACCCTTTAAGGTGCCCGGGATCTGTGACTCCCCTAGACACCAGGGCTCCTGGAGAGAGGTGGCCGGGGCCTCCTGCAGCCCTGACAGTGAAGAGGGGCCGAGCTGGGGGGGCTGTCCAGGGCAGCGGTCAACACTGGTGCAGGGAGCATCGGGGGACGGAGGTTTATCACAGGTCCCGGTGGGAAGGCGCATCAGTGCACAGGGATCCCCAGGGACCCAGTGGGGGGGGTCCTTGCAGTGGAAACACAGCTGTCAGGAACCTCAAGCGACATGCTTGAGCAGAAGGTGGCAGTGGCAGTGTCCCTGGGAGGTCGCTGTGCAGGCCTGAGACAACATGAGGTCCAGTGGCACCCGCTGGGCCACTCTAGAAGGCCTGTCCTTTAGCGTCTAGGGTGAGGCCTGTGTGCATGCTATTCTGCCTGCACAGCTTCTGGAGGGTTGAAATTTTCCCAAAAATGGTGAGCAAAGAGACTCAAAAGGCCTCGGAAGCCAGGGCACCGGATGGTGCACACTTAGCTGATGCTTGACGACAGTCCTTGCCTCCTGGAGGCAGGTCCTGCTGTGCAGCCTGCCAGGCACCTCCCAGTGCCCACTACAGAAGAGGCTGGGTGGGGGTCTCAGTGTCCTGTGGAGAATGGGGCAGGCCGGGCACCGCTCAGTGGCGGAGCATTTGGTGTAGGAGGCGTGAGGTTCTGGGTTCTGTCCCCAGCATAGAAAGAAATAGCTTCAAATTTTTTAGATACCAGCCTGAGAGGATAGCTGCTCCGTCTTCTGCAGCCACTCCCCAGTAGTCACCAGCCCTGCCCCTGTGACACACATACAGCTGCTGGACTCTCCAGATCCCCAGGAGGGCTGTGCTCCCGCAGGCCCTGTACCCTCTGGGTTAGCAGGGAGGAGGCACGGGCTGCCACCTCCACGGTCACTTTATTTGTTCTGTTTGCTCGCAGAGACAACACCCCCACAAAAAGTGCCTGGGGCCCCAGAGCCTCCGACTGGCATGTGAAGCCTGAGGGGCCAGTCCCACGACCTCTGACCCTGTCATGTCCTGCTGAGAGTTGGGATTGGGCGAAGGCTCGGAGGAAGCACTCGATGCTGCTGTCCGTCCACTACCTGGTCATCCTGTGTTGGTGGAGCCCTCTCTCCCCTGGGTCACCAGGAGGATGGGCAGCCCTGCCCATACTCAGTGAGTGGACACAGGTCCCCAAGTGGCCTGTGCTGGGCTGTGCTGCCAGGCACAAGTGTGTCAAGCCAGAGCCCTGGAAGACCAGGCAGCAGGGGAAGGGCGGGACCCCCCGGCCCAGAGCAAGCCCTGGAGGAGCCCAGGATCCCAGTGCAGAGTGGAATGAATGGCCCTCAGTCCTCCTCCCCTGGAGGGTGAGGCCCTGGGCGGGCAGGCGGGCACTCAGGAGGTGGTGGAGGGCCCCTCCTTCCCAGCCAGCACCCTCTGCTCAGAGGCCCCTTCCTGGGCAGCTCCTGATCCAGGCAGGTCATCGTCTGTCCCTGGGTGCCCGTCCCCGTTGCCAACAGCCCTGCCCTGGTCACTCTGCTGCTTCTGCCGCCGGGTCTCCTTGTACCTTAAGGTGATGTCCCTGGGGGACAGCAGAGGCCAGGTCACCACTGCTCACACACCAACACCCAGCGCAGGCCTCACAGACCCCTAGGCAGCCTTCGCCAGGAGGAAGCCACATGGGACACAACTCTTGGAGGGGCTGGGTGGGGGCCATGGCACGGCAGGCCAGGCCACCTGGATCCTCAGGAGCCAGACCTACCACATGAGGATGGATCTCCAGTGATGTGGGGGGCTATGGGGTTTGCCCCAGAGCCATCTTCTCCAGATGACTTGAGGAATGGGCAGGCACAGACCCTGGCCACCTCAGCAAAGCAAGAGGTGACAGACACCACCCATAGCCAAACCCCGTGGCCCTGGAGCCAGGCAGACAGCCCATGCCGCTGCTCACCGCAGGAAGAAGCGCCAGACGGTCCAGGTGAGCACCAGGACGGAGCCGAGCGTCCAGCACTGGGAGATGTAGAAGGGCAGGGACAGGGTCAGCGTGTGTGGGTCGTACTTCACCACGATCAGCAGCTCTGTGGCTGTGATGGCTGCCGCCAGCCAAGCCTGCTGGCCCAGCTTCTTATGGGGCTTCCTGTGGAGAAGATGGCAGCTGGCCAGGCCTGCCCAGGCATCAGGCCTCCCCCACCCCAGGGGTGCCTCCCGGCCTCGGCCTGGCAGGCGGCCCTCACAGGTCATCCATGAAATCGTAGATCTCACGCATGGCCACGCCACCCACGTTCACGAAGAAGACCAGTCGTAGCAGAACCAGGTAGTGCTCGGGGGGCATCCACAGCACGAACTTCAAGTAGAAGGTGTTCAGCTCTGCCAGCAGGAACTGGGGGACAGGGAGGGTCAGCCTGCGCAGGACACTGGCCATGCACACCCTCAGGCAGCCCAGCCTTACCACCAGGATGATGCCACACACGGCCAGCCAGCGGCGCAGGCTGGAGGCAGGCTTCCACTCGAAGCGGACCCAGCTGTAGGGCGTGAACTGGAAGGCAATCCTCTTCATCTTGCCCCTGGGGACCAGAGTGGCCAGCCTAAGGATGCGGCCCAGGCCGCTGCCGGCCCAGGCCGCTGCCTCTGCACCCAGAGCTGCTCCACTCCCTCCGCCCAGCCCCACCCTTCAGAGGGGCTGTCCCCTGCTCCAGGCACTCAGGCTGCAGGGGAGCCTCTACTCCCGCTGTTCCCCAAGTCTTTGGTTTCCTTTTTCTTTCTTGGAGTCAGGGTCTCGCTGTGTTGCCCAGGCTGGCGTGAACCGGCTCAGGTGGTCCTCCCGCCTCGGCCTCCCGCGGCGGGGGACTTCAGGTGCACCACCATGCCTGCTTTGTTTCTTTTGAAAATCTCAAAGTAAAAATGACACGACCCAGCAACTGCTTCCTGAGGATGGCAGCAGGTCCAGGAGGCAGACACTACCCCCCACTGCTCCTGAGCTGCATGCAGTCAGGCCTGGGCCTCAGGCCCACAATCCCCCGCCCCCTCCCTGGCTCCTGAGATGTACTTATAGGTTGGAATGTTCCAGAGGCCCTGCCACTTGTAGGTCTTCAGGGACAGCCACTCAAGGGTCTTCATGCCGCAGTAGATGCCCAGCCCATTACAGACAAGCACATCCATGATCCACTGGGCAGGAACCAGGAGAGGTGATGCTGTGTGCCTGGGCTCATCCAGAGGAGGCCAGGGCAACCTGGCCCCACCCCAGGACAGGCCCAGCACCCAGGCCCCCACACCCATGTGGTCCCCCAGCCCACACTGGGACCCTGGCACCCTCATGGTCCATCAGTGCCCCCCTTTCCCTGACCCCCCCACGTGGTCCACCAGCCCCCCCCCCGCCCGCCCTACCCACACTGTCCACCCCGCCCACCCACCCCCGCACCTACGTGGTCCCACCAGCACTCGCTGAAGTTGGGCAGCTGGTGCTCCAGGCTGTACTCCAGGAACTCAAACATCACGCTGATGATCATGCACATCCACCAGTCGCGGATCATGAGAGTCTGTGGGAGGCAGCCTGCACTGGTCATTCCATGTCCCTCGGCGGCACAGGAGCTTGCCTGCTGGAGGATGCCCTCAGCCCCAGGTGGGCATGGTGGGCGGGTCCCTCCAGCAGCCTCAGTCTTAGATTTTCAGCCAACACGGAGGTGCCCACACATCCAGCACTGAGCTCCCAAGGCAGGTGCAGCTGGGACACTTCAGGCTGCAAGCAGTGCACCGGCAGCCAGCCTGGGTTGGGGCCTCTGGCCTTCCCCAGCTGCCCCCCGCCTCCCCCAACAATGCTGGCCACAGTGCAGACCCAGGTGGCAAGGTTAGGGGTCCCAGGGGTTTGCAGACCTCTCTGAAATACTCTGTAGCCAGGACTTGCCCACCCGCACACTCGGATGTTCCACCCTGTGGCCAGAAGCTGCCAGAACACAGCTCAGGTCTGAGAGCCAGGGTGTGGGTGCCACAGGAGATCACTTACCTTCAGGTACCAGCCAATAAAGTGGGCAGGAACGAAGCCATCCAGCTTGTCCTGTGGGCAACATGGGCAGTCATCAGCACAGACCTCACCAGCAGCAGGTCATGGCCTGGGGCCAGCCCCCACCCAGCCCCAGCGCCTGCCAGCTCCAGAGCATGAGACCAGGTCTGCCACACATGTTATTGTGGTTGCCTGTGGACCACACAGCCCCTGCTGGCGGAGCCCAGCCCTGGACAGCGACGCCTTACCCAGATGTTGTGGAAGGGGTCGGTCTTGTTGTCTGTGTCGTAGATGAGGCAGTTCCCCCCGTAGTCCCTCTCTGGCAGTGGGACTCCCAACCTGGGGTCAACATACTTCAGAAACTGCCTGCCGTCCTGGACTGTCTGCAAGGCCAACGGGGACTGTATGACATGTGACCCACGACTCGGACAGCATGCTAGGAGAAGAGCGGCCTGTGCCAGCGGCCCTCCCGTCCCAGCAGTGGCTGGAGATCAGGGGAGCCTGGGCTCCAGTGAACTGGCAGAGAGCACAGGTGGCCCCATCTCTCACCTGTGCTCCTGGGTCTGGTCTGACAAGGTAGCACTCACTGCCTGCTGCTCCTCCCCACCCTGTCCAGGGCCAGTAACCGCAGAAGTCACCCTGGCTGGGGACATTCTGTCTTCACACAGCATCAGGACAACAGCATTCCCAGACACAGATGCCAACGTTAGCCAGATGCTGTTAGCCTTGAAACAAAGTGCTCTTTGGGGACCAAGCCCCAACAGAGCAGGCCCTGGAGCAGGCCACTGGCCCAGGACAAAGAGGTGGCTGAATGATAAAACATGACCAAATGATAAAACAGAAACCCAAGAAGGGTGGCGAAGCAGGAACACACAGGTGCCTGGCCACAGGACCTGGCTGTGCCTAGGACAGGAGGCACACAGGAGGAGGCTGTCCAGCACTGTGGCAGCCTTCTGTGACAGAGGGCAATGGTGCTGGGCGCAGCTGCTGTTGGCTTTGTCCAGCAGTGTGGACCCCTGACCCCCAGTCAGGGCCACATGTCCCTGTGCTGTCCTAGGAGGCACTGTGCAGCAGCCATGCTCTTAAGTCACATGCCTGGGGAACCAGCAGGACCAGGGGGCCAGACATGCCAAGGCAGGGCTCCGAAGACCAGCTCCAGTGACTGTCCAGCTGGGCCAGGGCCTCAGGTGTGTCTTGAGGAAGACAGTTCCAAGCCCAGCTCAGTCTAGGCTGATGGGGTGCCAGGCCATAGGCAAGGTCAGGGCCACTGTGCTCCCGTGGAAGCCAGAGACCCCCTGACTCCATGGCCCCCCCTCAGAGGGCAGGGTGTGGCAGGCAGGGAGGCTGGCGGGTCACAAGCTCAGCTGTACTCACAGGTCTGTGTGTAGACGCGGCGCACACACACCTGTGCTCTGCAGCAGGCCTGGCCCGGTGAGGGCAAACTCAGAGCCCTGACCCGTCGCCAGGACCATCCTCCCCTGAGGAAGGGGCAACTCTAGGGGTGCCCAGGATGCACCTGAAGTTCCCGCAGGAACAGCCCTGGGAAGTGCTCCAGAAAGCAAAGCCAGAAACAAGGAATCCTTAGATGGGTGTGGGGAGCAACGGAGGAACAAGGGAGCGGCTGGTGGCCTAGAGTTTGCACAACAAAACGCAGTGGCCTTAGATGTGCCCAGAATCAAAGTGAGCACCCTTTAGCCCACGCCGACGTGAATAAGAGACTGAAGAGTCAGCACAGGGTGGAGGAGGGACAAGTCTCCCCACACAGGACTCCTCTACCTGAGAGGAGCCGGGTCCCCACTTCACTTCAGACGGAGCAGTAGAGAGAGGGGAGGGGAGAAACGCGGCTGCCCAGCCGGACACTGTGATACTGCCTCCTGGTGGCCAGGGGCAACCACCCTGAGGGAATCACCAGACACCTGGGGAGCCCAGATGTGAGGTCAGAAGATGCTCCAGGGATGTGCAGCCCAGCACCTCCTGCAAATATGGGTGCAAAACCTTGACAGAACACTGGGAGACCGAGTCCAGGACACAGAGACAAGGCCACACACCGCGGCCAGGTGGGGTCTGTGCCCAGAACACAAGGCTGGTTTGAAAGAAGACCACTTGATATAATGCTCCTACCGGCAAAGGGAAAGCCCCAGACCAACAGCCCACTTCACCAAAAAACACACCCAGTGCAGCCACAGCATTCACGGATGAGTGCCTGGGCAGGGGAGTTGGAGTGCAGGCCACACTTGGCTAGGAGGACAGGGCTCCCGGGTCAGGAACGGGCCAAGGTCCACGCTCTTGGCTCCTGCTGGCACCTGCCGCAGGAGCTCCATCCAGGGTAGTTAGCAAGAAGCGGGAGTCTAAGGCACCCAACTGAAGGAAGAGTGCGCCCATCTGTGTGCAGGCGACAGGAGCCCGAAGACAGGACCCCAGGATGCAGAGCTAACAAACGTGCTCAGTGGGCACGGTGCAAAGGCAAGGTGAGCTTGGACACCAGCCGTGAGCAGCCCGACGTGGAGCCGAGGAAACGCTTCCCCTCAATGTCATCGGAGCTAACAAAATACCCGGGAATTCATTTTTTTAAGTTTCTATTTAAAAAAAAAATGAATTATTATTGTTTGTGGTCCTGGGGATGGGACCAGGGACTCACACATGCTACGCAAGCACTCTACCACTAAGTTACAACTCAAATCCTACAATTTTTTCCCCCACTGGCATCAGGGATTGAACCCAGGGGCACTTAGCCACTGAGTCACATCCCCAAAGCTTTTAGATATTTTATTTTGAAACAGCATTTTACTGAGTTGCTTAGGGTATCACTAAGATGCTGAGCCTTGCTTTGAATTTGTGATCCTCCTGCCTCGGCCTCCCAAGTTGCTGGGATTACAGCCACTGCACTTGGCCTAAGAAAACATTTAACAAAGAGTACAAAACTTGTATTCTGAAAATTCCAAACATGGTTGAAGACATTAAAAATGACCCAAATAACTGGAAAGACAACCCATGTTGGTGGATCAAAAGATTAATAACCTTAAGATGATGATATTCTGAAACTGCTGTATGGCTTTGATGCAGTCCCTGGCAATGCCTCAGCTGCCGGGCAGGGAGTGACTCGGCATCTGCCTGGCACGTGTGAGGCTCCGGGTTTCATCTTGTCTGCTCTCTACAGAACTGGAAAGGTGGTCCTCGCCTTCACTCGGAAGCAAGAGGCCGATACTCAGATGACCCTAAGGGAGGGACGCAGCCCATCCCCACGCCCTGTGCTGCTGACACTCGCCTGCCCTCTCAGAGCTGCCAGATCCTGAAAGGCAGGGAAAGTCTGGGGTGCCTACGGGGTTGCCAACTGTGTGCTGTGGGGTCCCGAGCAAGGCCTGGGGCAGCTGGATGGGGTTTGGCTCAGAGCCACGTCACACTGAGATACCACTGCATGCCAGCTCGGTGGCCACACATTCCCACAGATCCATTCTGCACAGCATGCAAGATGACACTGGAGGGCAGCTGGCACGTCTCGAAATGCCAGATGCACAGCACGGCCAGCCTGCAACCAGTGAGCACCCCTGCATATCTGCCAGAGATATGGGAACTGCATCTCCACAAAGCCGGGACGCGTGTTGAAGCAGCTTGATCCTGAGCCCCTTCGCCTGCAAGTGGACAGGCTGAGCTCACCCACACAGTGGCATGCCTTGGCCACGAATGGGGAGGTGCTGCCAACACCAGGTGGACCTCACAGGTATAGACAGGCCAGGGTGGAGAGACTGTCAAGGGGGCCTAGGCTTGGGGGACATGGGACTGTCTCCTGTCCTGAGGTGTACAACCTGTGACACGCGCCACAGGCCTGCTCCAGACGGACACCCTGGCCACACATGGATGGAGTCCTGGCCCCCCAGCAGGAGCATGCTCCGTGGAGGGAAGACGGCACCAATAGCAGAAGGTGGCGGAGGGGCCTGGCGCACAGACACGGCCACCGACCCCAAACTCAGAACCAGACGTGCTGTCTTCCCTCAAATCCGAGGCCTGTGTCCACACCTGGGTCCCTCTGGAGGTCCCCTGCAGCCTGCACCCACTTCTGTGGGGTCGCCTACCTGCCTGCAAGTGCTCTGGGGTGGCAAAGGGTGCAAAGCCTCCTCTGTCCTCTGTCCCCATAGTCTAGCCGACAAGAAAAGACACTTACCTGGAAGAGGATGAAGATGAGAAACAGCTCGTAGACCACACTAACACAGAGCCAAAACCGCCAGTAGGCTGTGGAGACAAGAAGCAGGTGCATCAGGGACCAGCCCTGTGCTCCAGGCCCACCCAGCCCCATGGGGTCTGCGTGCAGCTTCTGTCCCTGCTTGGGGTTCACGAAGCAAGGTCAAACCCAGCCGAGTGAGCCACTGCTCTCTGAAGCACGGGACTTTCCTCTCCTTCACTGTCTTCCTCCCCATCTCACCATAGCATCTCAGCAGGCCCATGGCTGCTGTCCTGCACCTGCTGGGCACACTTCCAACTGCACACTCAGTCTGCAGCAGGTTCTGACGACACACCTTGCATCCCACTATAACACCTTTTAATTCCAACAGGCTTAGCTTCCTTGCAGATGTGGACTTTTATTTATTGTACATTTAAGGGGATCACTGCATCAGTGTGTTGATCTGATGATTATCCACAGACTTCTAGTGTTGAACCTGCCACCCTACAGGTCCTGGGGCCCACACTACAAGTGCTCTGCTGGGAGGACTTGTGCCATGACCTACATGGGAGAAAGACATGGCCCTGCCCAGGAGGCAGCAGCAGGTGGATGCGGGAAACACCTGAGGGCTGAGGACGACTGTGGGCAGCAGGAAGCTGTGTGTGGAGGCTCTTGGGGACACCCAGGACACGTGTGTGGTCCCGGGACAGGAGATGGACGAGTGGGCTGCGAGCACTTTGGCCTGGAGGGTTGGAGGAACCTGGGGGCTGCTGAGCTGCCATAGCTGCTTGAGGGCTTGTGGTGCCAGCCGTCCCGGCCCAGAGGCCACAGGAGGACCATACCCTCGGAGCTGTGGACTCACTCGAGAGGCCTGACCCTTGAGGCCACATGCCAGAGATGCCTCACGTCACCAGGCCTTCTGTGACCTCCTCTCTGCCACTGTGTATCCCTGATTGTCCATGATCCCCTTCTCAGGAGGGCCCAAGTCGGGCCATCTCTGATCCCTTTAGTCTACCTTTGAATCTGCACCTAAACACCCAGCAGCCCTTCCACATCCCCTCCTCTCTCCTGGAATGACTCCTGGCGGTTGTGAGTCCCTGTCCCCACCCACTGGAATGTCCCACTGAGAAGGAAGAGCAGGGTGCCAGGCATCTGTGCACTCCAGCTTCAGGAGCTGCTGGGGTTGCATGCAAGCAGGAGCCAGGAGGGGCTGCTGCAGCTTGGCGGTGGAGAGGCGTGGCACACACCAGGTCCTGGGTCCTCGTCCCAGCACCACGGAAAACAAAAACCCAGGAAGGGGAGGCTCCTCCAATGGGCCGGGACCGGCTTCAGAGGGCCTCACTTGGAATTGCAGCCAATTAAAGTAGCTCCCCAGATGGGTGAGCTGGAACCTCTTTTTGCTGCTCTAAGGAGGCCTGGTTGCTAAGGGCCACAGAGGCCAGGCCTGACCAGGTGTCCCTGCACCAAGCCCTGGGGGAGACAGGCAGGGCCACACAGGGAGCACCTCCCGACAGCTGCCTGCAGGTCCTCCCACGCCCCCACCAGGGACTCTCATCTACTTCTCACACACTGTGACGGTCCGGAGGGGGTCCCTGTCCACCATCAAATAAGACCTGAGGAGGACAGTGGTGGCTCCAGGACAGGCTTCCCATGTGAACAAAGCAAAGACTGACAAAGAAACATGGAGTTCTGAAGAGCAACAGCGCACAGCTCTAAATACACACTCAGACCAAGCGCAGCCCCTGTGGAGGGGGAGGCGAACACCCAGGTGTGGGAGGCGGGGTGATGCTGGCGTTGCCCTGGGGAGCCTGGTGGGGCTTCCATAACCTTGCAGACTGGCCCGGCAGCGGGCGGCAGCAGCTCCTGCCCTGGGCCTGAGGTCCTGAGCACCTCCCTGCTGCTCAGGGCACCGGGGCCACGTGCTGGGCAGGGTGCTGCCTCGCGGCCAGGTGCTGCAGAGGGTGCGCTGTGCCTGCAGGAGTGTAAGCGTGTGGGGCTTCCCACAGCGCTCCTGGGCACCAGCCCGGCAGGCCCGTGGCCACGCTGCCTCTCAGTGTGTGCCCGCAGCTGTGCAGCCATCTCGCTGTCCCATGGCTCTGGTCTGAGTGCCTTCTGAAGCCTGGGTGGGTCAGAAGCTGAGCTAGTGGACCCCAGCGGACCTGGGCAGCCTGCCCAGCCTCCCCCAGTGCCGCCCACCAGGCAGGAGACCCGGGGTGCAAGGGCAGGCAGGAGCAGCCTGCTCAGGCCCTCGGGGCTCACTAACCCTCAGGCAGATGTGACCCTGCTGGAGGGCACGTGTCCTAGCCCTGCACCTCCACCCCCAGGATATCTTATTAGAAACCACTCAGGTAGATACACAACAGGCAAGTGCAAAATTCACCACGACCTAATGTACCACAAAAACTAAAGAACAGCCAGGCGTGGTGCCACCTGTAGTCCCAGCTACTTGGGAGGCTGAGGGTCTGAGAATAGCCTGGCAACATATGAAGATCCCATCTCAAAGACAAACTAAGCATCAAAACAAAACAAAGACTCCACGTATAGTACGATTCCAAGTTTTGAGGCTACATACACAAATACATCAAAATTTAATTGTGACGATTTTTAAAAAACACTTAAAAATATTTTTGTATTTTCCAGAGTTCTCACCGCTGTTGAGACGGACTTGTGTCTAGTTGCTGCACTTGAGCTTTGAGGGAACTGGCCAACCCTGAGTGCTGAGCTGCTTCCCATGCAGTGGGGCAGAGCCGGTGATGGGGCCCTCCCACTCTCACCTGGGGCTGGGGGCACTATGGTCCAGGAACTTGTTAGAACTCAGGGTGGGGATGAGGGAGACAGTGAGCCCCCAGCAAGGATGGTCCCCCTGCCTGAGCCACAGACCTTGCCTGCAATCCTGGGCACACCACCATCTGCAGAAAGCTGGTGGCAGAGCCAAGCAGAGTGAGGAGGAGGCAAGAGGGCCTGGGGGCCGAAGAGGAGGGAGGTGGAGGGCTCTGCACCCCAGGCCTCTCCTGGCAGAGAGAGCAGTGGCTGCAGGGAGGAGCAAGGCAGAGGGCAGGACAGGACATTCACACCCAGCAGCACAGACACAGGCTGCTCGAGACAGGAGTGCCTGTGCACACACGGGGGAGGAGGGGCAGTTACCTGGATGAGGTCTGGAAAATGGCCCATCTTTGGCTTGTGTGACTCCAAAACATAAGAAAACCAAGATACTGGCCACAATACCTCTGCAAACAAAGAACAAACAGCCCCTCAGTGTGTGCAGACTTCTCTCAGGTGGGGCGGAACGTGGCTGGGACCAGGGGACACTCAAAGGGCAGGGCCGAGGGAGGAGCTGGGCTGGAGCTGGACTACCTCCCCACCCAGCAGCTGCCTCTGTAGACACCTCTGGTGTCTTCTCTGGGACACCGTGCCTCAGGCATGGTGTCACCACATGAAGTCCCAACTCCACAATTCACGATCAGGGCACACTGGTGCTCCTAGAGGCCAAGAGCCAGAGGCCGGGGACGCTGGCCAGAGGCCCAGCTCTTGCCTGTTGGGGTATCTCCTTCAACACCACAAGGCTCACCAGCTATCTGTGGAAGTGCCACACCTACAAATATATCCAACTCAACACACAGGTGCACGGTGGTGGCACAGCCCAGGGGGGAGCCAGGGGCCTCAGGGTGGGTGCCCACCTTGGCAAGGCTCCCCGGGACTGCCTCTAGCCCAGAGGCCCACTACCTCTGCTGGAAAAATGGCCCAGGCCAGTGGATGTGCAGATGGCCCATCTGTTCTACAGCAGGCCTGCCCTGGCTGAATGTCCCTCCCACTCCATCTCACCTGACCTGCGGTCATGAGGTTAAGCCCTGCCAAGTGGCCAGCACAGGACTGGAAGGACTGAGGCTTACACACAGGCTGCCTGCCCGCTTGACAGACAGTACCCTGCCTGGCCATTCAGGGACAGAAGAGCTCTCTCAGTCCAGGTTTGAGGGTCCCAACTCTGGCAGGACATCTGAGGGCACACAGGAACTCCGGGACATTCCCACACCAAGCCCTGCTTCCACACCCCTTCTGCCAGGACAGGAGCCTCAGGCAGGGTGGAGACTTGCAGGGCACCTGAAAGGTCCACCCAACAGGCACCGTCCGTGCGCTGCTGGGGAGAGGAACACTGACCAAGTGAGGTGGCTAACAGGCACCCCAGACAAACCTGTGACACCCACCAGGGGGCACCACTCAAGGGGTCTCCAGGTGGGCATGCCGAGCCGCCCAGGCCACGTATGTGAGGAGGACTTTTTAAGGTTCTTCTGCAGGAGTATTCAAGGACTCTGGAAGTCCATCGCAGTGGGCAAAGGAAGTAATTTAAAAGGAAAACAATATCCTACATTTTTCAAATATTTTTTTTTTTTTTGGTACTAGGGATTAAACCCAGGGAGCTTAACACGGAGCCACATCCCCAGCCCTTTTTATATTTTATTAAGAGACAGGATCTCACCAAGTTGCTTAGGGCCTTGCTAAGTTGCTGAGGCTGGCTTTGAACTCATGATCCTCTGCCTCAGCCTCCTGAGTTGCTGGGACTACATATGTGCACCACTGTCAAATAATTTTTTCTTTTTTAGCTGTAGTTGGACACAATATCTTTGTTTGTTTATTTTTATGTGGTGCTGAGGATCGAACCCAGGATGAGTGCTCTACTGCTGAGCCACAACCATAGGCCCTCAAATAAATTTTTAATCAAATAAAATACATGCTCTGTATTTATTTAATCAAATAAAACACATTTTCTTGGGCTCCCCATTGTCCTTCCCGTCCCCAGTGACACCTCGTCTCAGTCTCTGCAGGCTCTCTTGCCCACGACAGTGTCCTGCCCTCCCCTTATTTCTGATGACCCACACCTCTAAGGACTGGGAAAGTGGCTTCAGAGCCGTCTGCTGTTTCCTCATGGTAGATGGGGGCTGCAGGGTGTGGGGAGACCTTGGGGTGTGACTGTGGTGTTGACCCTGTGTGCTGGGCTGAGGTGAGGCGGCCAGGGCCCTCTTGTGCAGCACCTCCTTCCCCTCCTGACCTGTCTCAGCACTCACTGGGGACCCTG